TCATAGATTATCAGGAAACATCAAATAGTATATATTGAAGATATCCCAGGTACATAACATAGAATAATTCACTCAAGAAAATTATAGTTAAAAATTTGATAAACAAACTAAAACCATATATATGTATTTATTTCAATGAGAAGTTGAGCAGTGAGGCAGAGTATAAACACATAAATAAGATGACTATAGTATACTGTGATCATCTCAATATACTATGAGATTATAGATGCCAATGCAATTTTTCTTTGTGAAGAATTTTCTTCTGTACTTCTCCATTGAGAGCTGTAATTGTAATTGTTCTATGTAAACTACTCAATTTGCAGTCTAACATTAGCTTAAAAGTAATAGGTCTAGGCAAGGAATCATAGAACAAATGATAATTTATAAATATTTTATAAGCTAAGAAAGAAAGTACAATCAAAATGGACTATTTCTTTATTTCGGCTCAAAAATGAAATTCAATTTTTAACAATTCTAAAATTGTTATATAAAGGACACCTTTTATCATCATAGATCTTCAGCATTCTTATGGCTGAAGCTCCTACTTTCATGACTTACAAAGGCTTTCAGTTAGACATTTTTAGGTATTTCTGTTAGCATTTTCTCTTGTAATTCTTTAATTAGCCCAATTATATCTGTCATTAAAGAGTGAATTTCATGATGGTCTTAACTCCAATGAATTTATGTCCTAGTTCATATGAAGTATGTAAGTAAATGTCTATTGAATGAAATATAAATAATGATGTTTTTCATTACTCAATTAGTACATTTTAAATTACAATGAAAGAATAAATTTGAGAATCAACAACAAATTTAACAAAAAAGCTTGAAAAGTAGTGCCCAAGAGTATACTGGTTCTGTCTCTTTCTTTTCTTAAGCACAGTGTTCAACTGTTGAGTTATTTTTACATTGCAGGATACTTTAAACAATTGCAATATATTTAGGACTTGAAGATTGATTTGGAATTGGCATGCAATACTTTGTCAAAACAAATCTTAGAAACCTCAGGAATGGCAAAGGCTCTRTACTACATTTTACTCTTTACAGGGGATAAAGGATGTTAATTCATGTGTTCATGATATATATTCAAATTTTTAAAATATTATATAGTTTTGCAGGTACCAGGAGGATAGAGAAATGGACATGTTGACCTAACAAGGCATTCAGTTCTTATGGATTTTAAAAGATTCTAGGGAATCTGCTAAGGGATGTAAAATTATATGCAATTATTGGCAAATTAGATTTTGATGCTTATGTAAAGGCTAGATACTATTGTTGCTCTGTAGGAGTTTTTTTTTTCCCTTTTTGCAGATATGGGAACCCACTTTTGACCCCACTCTAAGAGAAGACACCATATTCTTGATTCTATTATTGACCAAAGGAAATTACATAGCAGGATTCAATAATCTTCATTTTTGTGCCAGCATAGAAATTTTTTCTCACCTCTGTGTTTTCTTTTTAAATATATCTGACAAAGTATCTAAATCGTGTTTACATAGAGGAGGCAAATACTAAAGAAATGGCCAGTTTATTATAAAAATTAAAACCATAATCTGAGCTCCAGAGAAACAGTTTAGCAGAGAAGAGAATCTTAAAATTCAAAGAAAATGATTGATTCAAATTAGTTGCTTTCCACTAATGTTCACATTCAACTGCATAAGAATCACATTGAATCCTTTCTTTTTTCTAGCATCTGAGACTTATTCATTCTCCTATTTCTTCTCTTCCTTACCTTTACCTTACCAAATCAGAACTTTATCAGTGTTACCTTTATTTCTCAAAAATATTTTTGTCATTATTCAAAGTCATTTATAATTTGAATGTATATTTTTCAGCTTTAATATATCTAACTGAAGCAGAAGATAATTATTTTCTTTATAAGTATACCTGTGTATAAACTAACTCAAATAKCAGCAAAATTATCATAAAAATAATGGACTAAACTCAGGGCCTAATGAGTATATGCTAGGTCTTTGAGGAACCCAAATGCTGCCATGTCAGGTTTTTTATCTTTAAATAAATAACAGTGTTTTATTAGAAAATGACACATGTTATATAGTCATTCTACTTTTGTCCTACTAAAAATTTGTGTATGTAATGAAGATAATATTAATATTGGCATTTTGTTGATTTCTAATAGTATTCCTATAATTTTTCATAATACTTTTTAAAAGTTTATGTGTTCAAATTCTGCAAATGAAAGATTATTTTAAAAAGGAGCTTTTCAGTTTTCTAACAGTTATTTATTATACAGAAAATTTATTATCCAGAGAAAATATAGCATTAGATTTTGAAAATTTTGATGATTTTGAGGTTTGGAGTAGTATTTTCAGATCTAAATTTACCAAGCCATCATTCTAAAATCAGTTTCCTTGGTCATATCATATAATCCAACAAATACTTAATGACTATAAAATATGATTTCCAATGTGGGCAGTATTTCTAACACTGAATATTAATTTCCTTTGGATCTCAAAAGTCATTGACAAGGATTTTCATTTTTTCCTATTACTAAAGACCATATTTAGATACCAAGAATCTATGCTGATTAAAGATATCTCAAGTGCATGTTTGTAAACTATTATCTTAATTTAAATGTTTCCTTGAAATTTTATAAGCTTAGAGAATGTTCTTTCTCTAAATTTGATTTAGAATTCCTAAAGGTTCTCAAGGTGCTAATTCTCTTCACTTTTGGTTTAAGGAATATTTAAACTATTCTGATATTTATAAAATATTGCTTCATTTTGGTAGGTTTAAATATTTTGATATTATTAAATTGATAAATTACTTAACCACAAAAGTGATTTCCACGCAGTCTGTTTTGCTCATAGAGAATTTTGCATAGCTTTGTTTTATTTTAAATAGTTTTAATTTATAATTTTTTGATACTCATCTAAAGTCTCCTGCATGKAATTATTGCAAATTTAAAAGAAATAAAGACTACCTAGAAAAAGATAGATATTTGTTTCTCAATACTAAGGAATTTTTCATGTTTTATTTTTCTTTTTAAGTATGGAAAGCTCTTGCTATACTTCATATAGCTCAGGAGAAATAACATTAGGCATATGATTATTATAAATTGTTGAGACTTTGTATTAGAGAAAGGCACAGACTTGGGCTAGCAAAGTCTGGGAAATTCCTGGCTTGTCCCCTTTATTTAGGGAGCATTAACTTTCAGAAACATAATTTTCATAACTATGGAATTAGGTTAAATATATTAATTGTCTCATTCTACTTACTTGCTCAAAATGATTTTTCATTACTCAATTAGTACATTTTAAATAAGCTTATATTACATAAATAGGTTTATTATACACATTTCCTTCTATATTTGAACTTTGGAGTATGTTAAAAGTGGTTGGTAAAAATCAGATTGAATAAACATGTCTCTTCTGGATTTCAAGGTGCCCACTTTATAGTGTAATATCTTCTGCTTTTTAATGACATTTGACTTTAAGAAATTAAAGGGACAGATTGTGGACCTAGCTTGGATAAGTATATATCTAGCATGTAAGAGCTACTATTTAGATAGCAAAAAAAAAAATTAAAAAAGAAAATAAATTTAAATGAAGCAAAAATTTATCTATTATTTGATTTTAAACCATTTTTTTAATTGAGAGAGACTGTCCCTGAAGATCTTAAAACTCTTGATTTAATACAAGTAAAGAACTTTTTCATAACTTTTCTGCCAAGATGTTACCAATAAAATCTTAGTTAGATTTTCTGCTACAAAGTTTTCCTTTCTGATTTATAGAACTTGTAAATATGAATGAAAGTATTTTCAGGATTAATATAGTTGGGATTCTAGCCACACCTTTTATTATGTGGTTGTAAAATCCAAACACATTTATTTTTATAGCTTTTTCAGAAAATAAAATCACTATTAAAATAAATCTAAACAATATACATAAAAAGAATACATATATTTTTATGTAGTTTAAGGGTTTTTTCATGGATAAATAAGAACTCCATTGAGTATTCAGAATATGAATATAGATATTCTTTAAATTTTCTATATGTAGTCAGCTTCTACTCATGTATGAACACTTATATATGTGTATTTGAATAGGAACAGAAATATAAACTCATTGTTGACTAAATGCATGAATGATTACCATATTTTTCTAGATTTTAGTCATTGATGTTATTTGATAGATGGATAAAAATGTGATTGGACATAATGTAAAATTTAGAATGAATCAGATTTACCTAAAAGCATGAATTTCTGTTTGTCATATAAATGCTGAATTTGTTGCATGAATATGTAAAAATGCATGTGTTATATACCTCCTATTTTTCTCTATTTTCTTTTTAACACATTATTTTGGCATACTCTAGGTTTTCTTCCTATTTTATATTTCTTTCTACATTACATATTGTTCTCCAAGATTACGAAAATAAGCATGAAATTCAAATTAAAATAGTTTAGTGGTCTAAGTAGACAAAACTAAAAGTTATGATGCATTACGTATACATTCATAAATATTTATTTCCTACTAATTTTTATCTTTATTCATGAATATATACACTGAACAATATTCTCTCTGTCTTGTAGTAGTTTTCAAAATAAATAACTATGTGAAGAAAACCAAATATAAATTTTTCACTCTGTGTTATGATGTTCTGAGTTGAAGTACATAATTCAATGTATTTTGCTTCATAATAGCAATAATCAGAGAGACCACAGAAAGTTCTTGAAGGAAATATTTGGGACATGAAAATCAAGAGCACATTAGGAAAATAGTTTGCAGTTGAGTATTACAGATAGGGAATAGCATATGTAAAGTTACTTTGGTCAAATTTTGAATCCATTCTTATGATTTCAAAAGCTAGTTAAATACTTTTTACAATAAAACTTTATACAAATACAAACATGCTTGAATATTTATTTCTGAAATGTATTATTTTTGTTCTCTCAATATGAATATTACTGCCCTTATGATGACTGATACCTTCTGTGTTTAGTTATATGTTACCATAAGTCTACAATTCAATTTCAGCTTCCTGTTCTGGACTGAATGGGGACAGATGCCCTGCATTGGAAAGGCTCGCTTAGATGGCTCAGACAAAGTTGTTCTTGTAAGCATGGGGATAGTGTGGCCGAATGGCATCTCCATTGACTATGAGGTCTGTTGGATTTATTTTAAGTATTTAAAATGTACTAACTGCCAACTTGCATTATTCCAAAACTTTAGTGTTCCATYATTTTCTTAATGACATCACCAAAACCTCCTTGTAATATTACTCTTCAATCCATCTTTAGGAAAATAAATTGTACTGGTGCGATGCTCGCACAGACAAGATAGAGAGAATTGACCTTGAAACCGGAGGCCATCGTGAGATGGTGCTGTCGGGGAACAACGTGGATATGTTTTCAGTTGCGGTCTTTGGGGCTTACATCTACTGGTCTGACAGGTAATTTTTTTTTTTTTTCGTAAACATTTGAGTCTCAGCATGTTATTTCAGTGCCAGACGCTTTACCCTTGTAGGATTACCCATACCTTAATAAGGTCACAAAAAGGATCTTGCAAAGCCGTGTAATTTCCACAGCAAAGGCAGGCGCTCTTCCCATCCCAGGCTTGAGCATTAAAAATCACAGGCTGAAGTGGGTTTCTTTCCCTTCTGTTGGGCCATCTGTTAYCTTCAGTTTAAACTAACTAGCTGGATTTTAATGAAAAGTTGAAGAATGTTGATCATGTATGTTCCACTTTTTGGCAGGGCACATGCCAACGGGTCCGTCAGAAGGGGTCACAAGAATGATGCCACCGAGACTGTAACCATGAGAACTGGCCTTGGAGTCAACCTGAAGGAGATTAAAATCTTTAACCGAGTAAGAGAGAAAGGTCAGCACCTTTAAAGGAATACACAAATCAATACGTTTTATTCCTCTCTTATTTTAAAACTTTTGTCACATGAAGATTAAGGATAAATTCTTATTTGAGTCAAAATCACAATTTTTTTACATCGAATTTTCTACAGAATCATATAACAGTTTAAAGAAATGAATAACACTTCATACATGAGCATACTTGTCTGGGACAGCATGTGTACACAGATATGTCACATACCTTGCATGTCTTGAGTATTGATTTGGGTTAAGAAATATAAACACTCTATAAACAGTGTACAAAAACTCATAATTAAGATATTAGAGAATTAAAAGCCACTGAAATTGATTTTTTTTCATTATCTCTTAATATAAAATGTGGTTCTTTCTCCAGAAATGATTTTTTAGTCTATTTSTGAAGTCATCACATCCTTAAAATGTGTATTTTGAAAGTAATAGAATAACAAATTTGAGTATTTTAAAAAAGTGACCACTGTTAAAATAAATTATAATTGATTTTCTTTTCATACAGAGGGTTTCATGTATTAATTTTGCAGATGATAATGAGTTCCTAGGGATGAATTACCTTAATGAAGAAAACCTAGGAGCATATTTTATCTTCACTAAAACTGAAGTAGATTCTGCCCTATATTAGAAGTTACGTACTRGAGGTGGGGGGGAGGGGAAGGGTTTCAAGCAGTGCTTTTTTTTTTTTTYCAGTTCATTTTTTAGTGACTCTGTAATTTTTGCCAAAGATTAAAATATGRTAAAACCCATGGTAATGTTTGTATCAAATTTCAAAAAAAATGTACACACTTAACTGGCAATCAGAGTATTGTAGGAGAACTTTAATGYTGTTATTTAGATTGTGAAGGAAGTAGAATAATGTGGTCATTCAAATAGAATTTCAAGATTTTGAACTTCTGTGATTTAAAAAATTAATACTTTCTATTGTTTGCCTTTTATTAACTAATCTTAATTAAAACTAAGATTAAAAAGATACAATAAACATTAAGCTTTAACATTAAATTTTTAATATATCTATAAGTAAAAACTTATTTGTTAAACAAAAACATAAATGTGTTTATGTGTGTGTATGTGTGCGGTGTGTGTGTGTGTGTGTGTGTGTGTGTGTGTGTGTATGTATTTTTTCTTCCTTAGGGACCAATGTTTGTGCAAAGGACAATGGTGGCTGTAAGCAACTCTGTCTTTATCGAGGAAATTCCCGGAGAACTTGTGCTTGTGCCCACGGATACTTGGCAGAGGATGGAGTTACTTGCCTACGGCATGAAGGCTATTTGCTGTATTCAGGGAGAACAATATTAAAAAGTATACATCTTTCTGATGAAACCAATTTAAATTCCCCAATAAGGCCATATGAGAATCCACATTATTTCAAGAATGTCATAGCCTTGGCTTTTGACTATAATCAAAGAAGGAAAGGTACCAACCGAATCTTTTACAGTGATGCACACTTTGGAAATATACAGCTTATTAAAGATAACTGGGAAGACAGACAAGTAATTGTTGAAAGTAAGTACAACAATTTAATTTTAAGTAGTTTAGTAGAAATGAGTATCGTTCATATTATTAGAGAAATAATAGTGGTAATTGCACGTAGCAATTTCATTTTCCTAGAGTTTATATTAAAAAATGGATGTGACTATATCATCCAATCCCCCAAAATGTCAAAGAAGCAATTAACTGCCAGCATGTACATTATGACTGTTAGCTTCTAATCTTTAGATATTCAAGGTCTCATCAACATGTTTTTCTGCAGTTAAGCATTAGAACTTTTGGGAAAATTCTTTCAGTATAAAACTATTTTAAATGATTTTCTTCCAATGCATGGAATGATATCTTTAAAAACAACTGCCTAATGATTTCCAGTTAATCATATTTTCTTAAATGTCAATTATTTTCTATATATATATGTATGAATGTTTAGATAGACCTTTGTATTTAAACATAATAGTATTGATGTGAAAATATTACTATAGAAATAATTTAATGCTTTTAATATCTTATGGGACATAATTATATAATCATCAGTGTAGATTATCCACAGAATTGAGAGAAATCTCTTTCTTGTCCTCATATATCAGCATAAGGACCGTCATCTTCTTGTAGCACCTTTTCTCCTCTATCTCAATATAAATTCCATATTATATATGAATATGTTATATATATATATATATATATATATATATATATATATTTCTCTTTATGTGTCACCATACTGAGATCATTTTTTCTTTACTTTTAAATTGCAAAAAGTATATTAATTTATTATAGAAGTTTCAAGTCATATGGAATTAAGTATAAAATTTCTGCCTTACTACTGCAATTATCAGTCCCATTTATGCATCCATAACTGACAACTGTCATTGCTTCTAGAATTTTCTTTATGTATGTGTGTATATAATTTATAATTTCAAAAGTAGGATGTTACTAGATGTRTTAGCTACCTACCTTTTTCCCAATAACCATATATTGCAAAGCTTTCATTTTGGTATATATAGTTTCATCTTACTCTTTTGAAAGGCAGCACTTCATTCTATACTCAGGATAAACTCTATRTTTAATAWTTTTATGAATATTGTTTYTGGTATCTTACCATTYCACACAATGTCAYAATGAACATATGTATGTAGAATTATGTTTAATCACACATGTGACTATTTTCTTAGCATAGAAATCTAGAAGTTAATCACGAAGTCAGTCAATGGATATTTTATTTCTTATAGATTGTCAAACAATAGGCCCTATAAATTTATATTTTAACCAATTTTCTATGAAAAGGCTCATTATCCTACACTTTTGCCAATAATKATTTTATGATTTTTGTTAAGGAAATATAATATGCAAAAKTATTACCTTCTATTARWATACATTTACCTGATAGGTAATAAGACACARCATCTAGTTGTATATTTACACATATCAAAATAATTTTTTAGGTCAAGTGTGATATTATACATTGTCATTCCATGCTAACGCTTGCCATTGTTCGTTTTGAATTTCCAGCCTGTAATATCTTCCACAATTCTTTTTGCTTATCCCAATGCTATTCAGACTGAAAATCAGATCAAGTATATTCTTTAAAAATAAATATTCACATTTTTCTCATATAGGTTAAAACATTTATTGATAATTTCATATCTGTTTATATTTTATGGCAYAGCAAATTGTTTCCCTGTATGCATATGTGTATATATGTCCATCTGTATCAAAAACCACACTAACTGTACCGATCATGGAGTTCATGCATATTTGAGACTCACTGATTTTTAGGGTGTATGTCCKTGAAATTTTCATTATAATATCTTTGGTCCTTTATTTGCCCAGACCTATGCAATTCACAGTTGGAAGTGTTCACGTTGTAACCACACATAGGAACTAACTTACTCATCCATTTTCTGCATTCCACATCCTTTGTCAGCARGATGGTTATCAAGATGAGTATCAGTCCATAGACCTTTAGAAGCCACAGTTTAGAGAAGAAAACATCAACTAAACAATCACTGAAATATAAGATCTACAAGATACTAGTGGCCTTTAAAGAATTAAAAAGTCTTCCCRCAGAAGGATGGAGAATCTCATGAGTGTTTTAAAGATGAAGCTGTACAAAGCTAACTTGAATGAATTTAAAGGATGAATAAGAACCTGTCAGGTGGTAAAGGAAAAAGGAAAACCTGTGATTCTCAAACTATGGATCTTTGGGCACCTGCAATATACTGTCAGTACATCTAAGAGATCAAAAATATTTTCATGGTAATTAAATATCATTTGACTAGTTTTTACCATGTTGACATTTGCATGGATGATTTAATGACAATGTGGCTAAACTATGGCCCTTTCATGTTAGTCAACACAGTGGCTTCAAACTATTTTAGAGATCATTGGATTTTTCACGGTCACTTGGCAAGAAAAAAAAGTACCAATTTTGCTTGAAAGAAAGGTAAAAAAATATGATTCTTTTAATTTTGACCCTTCAGTTGGGATTTCTCTAATATTCTGTATGATGTAAGATGAAAGATACATAAGGCACTTACATTATATTCTGAAGAAAACTATATTCAAATGAATGTTTGGGCTCATGCTTTCTTCAAGGAATATCAGGTTTTACTTGAAAGAATGAAGAACAGACAAACTAGTTATGCAAATCAAGATGTGTGGCAGAAGTGTTCTAAGGAATACACAATGAGAATATCATTTCAAGGAGAATGATAAATAGTATTTTATTCAAATAAGGAAAATTAAGTTTTCAAGTAAATATTATCTTTTGGAAGACTTTTAATCACCACAGTAAGCTTTATGTTTCCCTAATGCTTTCTGGTCTTCACTGATGAGATGGATTATGATAAAAACTAATGTGACTTTTGGGTACTGCATAGAAATGTGTCAACCATTAGAAATGTACCTAAATCAGGAAACCAGTATTTTCCAAACGACATGACAAAATCATGCAAGGATAAATGATCCATTTGAATTCAATATAGACAAATGAATGTTAATGTAACAGATTGAAAAGTTCATCACTATGGTATCTGCAACTGACCTTTAAGTTTGACCAYTTGTCATGTGTTGGTGTAGTATAAAGGAAGAATACTAKAGTTACTTGAAAAGGCWATGAAAATATCTACTCCTTTTCTAACTATATTGCTGCSTGAGGCTGGATTTTCTTCATGTAACTCACCAAATGACAGAAGTGATAGGATGAAGAAGTCATGAGGAACCAGCTAGATTTAATAGATTCACACAATTATAAAATAATGTTCTATATGCACTTTTTAAAAGTATAGCTTTTAGATGATTTTATATTCATACACAAATCGATTCATTATTCTAAGTTTTACAAAAATTGGTAAACCATCAACATATTTTCAATATGAATTTATAGTATGATAAATAAGTATAGATAAAATCCACAGATACAAAATCTCTCTGGAATCTTTAAGAATGTTTAGGAGTATAAAGATCTTCAGGTCAAAAAGATTAAAAACTACTCCCCTAGACRAAGAAGTCAGAAAGTTTTAGTATGAAGGAATGAAAAAGCAAATGTTATGCAAGGWGTCTTTTAGGTTTATTAAAATACAGGTTGTATGCATGAATGGGTGTGAGATGAAGCGGGGGTGGGGGGATGGGCAGGGGGACAGGTGTACTAAGCATCCTGATATTGAAGGACTTGGTCTGTCAAAATAAAGAGCTTCTTAAAAAAAAAAAGTTTAATTGAGATATAGTTTACATGCCATATAATTCATTATTGTATGGCATGTAAACTATATTGTACTACTCAATCTATTTTGTAATAATATGTTGTTTATTTTTAAATTGTGGTAAAATGTGTGTTTACAGAAATTTACGTATGAGTGTATGGATATATATATATGTATATGTATATATATATATATATATATGTATATGTATACATATATATATATATATGTATATGTATACATATATGTATATATATATGTATATATACATATATATATGTGACAAAATGAGAATATCACTTCAAGGAGAATTTAAACTGTTTTTGAACATTCAACTTAGTGTATTCACAATGTTGTATAACTGTCATCTTTGTTTCTGAAATGTTTTAGTTACTTCAAACAGAAATTCTTTTAAAATTAGTAATTCTCCATATTTCTCCTCCCTCAGTTCCTGGTAGCATCTAATATACATTTATTTCTGTCTAAGAAATYGTCAACATATTTCATATGAGCAGAATCCTAAATTATTTCTTATTTTTGTATGATTTACTTCACATAACGTTTTTGGAATRTTGATGCTGTAGTATGTATTGGACCTTCAACTCTTTTTTAAGGCTGAACAGTATTCCATTGTGTGCACATACTACATTTTGCTTGTTTATCCTTTTGTTCATGCACACTGGGGTATTTYCTCATTTTAGTTCTTGTAAATAATTCTGTGGTGAATATTGATGTACAATATCTAGGATAAAGAGTTTTAATTTTATTCAGTARATGAAGGGAAATCAATAGAATAGTGTGAAGCATATGAATGTTTTGTAAAGATCTCTCTACTGTATGTTTGATAAAGTTTAAGGGCCATATCTGAATTCAGAGATGGCCTAGGAAATTATACAGTATTTTATGTCCTGTTTTATCAGTGGTATATGTACAATCAAACTTTTCTAATCCKCTCATCCAGTATCAGATCAGTAAATCAATCACCTTTTAATGATGGTAGGTGTTAACTTACAGGCATAGATGATAAATGAAAACCTAGTGGCTGAGAGTATGGAATCAGTCAATCTGGGATTCCAGTTTGAATTCACTGTCTATTTTCTATATGCCACTAAGTATCATTTTTCCCACCAACAAAATGAAAAACTAACTTATAATTTTTTTTTTTCCTGTGGAGATTTTAAAAGAAAAGGTATAKAAAAAAACATACAAATAAGCATAATTTTACTTTAAAACTTTATATCACTGTATTTGTGGATCATTTAGGATAATTACATTTGCCGTAAATTATTTTTTACCACATACATTAGAGTAGTT